GAGGAAAGTGGTGGGAGCCATGCCTGGCGGCGTGGTGAGTCTCCACAATGCTGGCTCATGGGGTAAAAGTGGTGCTAGTTCCCAGGCCAGGCATTCACCCACCCTGAGACCAGTCCTTCCTCCATAAAAGGGGCCACAATGGTACCAACAATCTTCCATTGTTACTGTTATAAAAAATAGCCACAATTTATTAAGTTCCTACAATGGGCCAGGCACTGAATTTCTTTCTCTTTTTCTTGTACCTATTATTTAACACTCACACCCACTCTATAGGTTTTTGGTTTTGAAGTGGAGCTTTAAATACAATAAAGTGCCCAGATCTTCAGTGCACGGCTCCATGAATTATATATACATACTCTACCACCGAACTCTATCATCCTGGACCAGTTCTGCCTTCTCATGGATTTCATATACATGCACTCATACAGTATGTGCTCTTTTGTGATTAATTTCTCTCATTCAATTTTGGTTTTGCAATTCATTCACATTGAGGTGCATCCATCATTTGTTCTTTTATGGAGCTGTATAGTACTCCATTGTGTGACTGTGCCACTGTTTACCATTAAGCCAGGCTTAATTATCATCACCATCCTCGGCCTCATCCTGTTTTGCAAATGAGGAAATGGGGCTCTAAATTGCTCACTAAGTTTGTAGCTTAAGATCACAGAATGACAGTAAGGCTGAGCAAGGACTTGAACCCAGGTCCCTCTGACTCTAAAAGCAGCTTCTCACCTCTGGAATACTAGGCAGCAGAAATGGGATCCTTGTGTGGTCACAAACTCCTCCCCACTGAGATACAGTGTGGGAGTCAGAGACAACCTGCCCTGGTTTGGCCATTTCTGATATTTATTTGCTTTGTATCTCAAGCTGATGGGGCAGGTACAGTCGTCACTCACAGCCCTGTACCTTGAGACTACAGCTTTGCCAACATTTCGAAACACCTGCAAATAGCCTAAACGAGTAGGCGGCATCCTCCTCCCCTGGCCATCGGTGGCTCTCATGGGCAGCCCCTGCCCTAGTGCTTCAGACTAGTTGTCCGTGACAGTAACTCAGATATAACCATTTGGAACTCTCCCAAAAAGCAATGTAGGCCCTCAGGCCAGGTTTCTCCACAGCCTCCAGTGCTGGCCTGATCTCAAGTAATAGCAAGATTTTGTCCTGCTTTCCCACTCTGGATCCTGCAGGCCTACAAGGCTCATCCTCAAGGCGGCAAAGGGGCGGCCAGGGGCCCACCACCTCCTCACCCACCCAACTCAGGTAGCATTCCAGCCAGTCCAGCCAGACATAATCAAATGGTTGGCCGTGGGCAGGGGTGGGGGACCCCAGGGGAGAAAGGACACAGGACTGACTCTCCAAGGTGCCTGGGGCACCCTTTGCTCTGGTGATCATTAACAGAAGCCACCCCCAGCAAGCAGAGAAGGGGAAAGTCCAAGGGGAGGGCCTGCCCACTCCTCCCGGGAACCCTCCTCCAAACACACCAATCCAGAGCCTCAGAGGACATGAGGGGTAGATGCAGAGTGACCCAATCCACTGGCTGCTTCTCCAGTCCTGCAGAACTGCCACCCAGAGCCAACAGAGATGAGAAACAGCCCTGGTGAATTTGCAGTTGCTGAGCGACAGGGACGGTGCCCAGTGTCTTCAGTGTGCCAGGCGATGGCACTACATGGCACAGTGGGGAAATGCAATGATGAAGTCAGTCTGCTTGGGTTCAAGTCCTGACACTCTCTCACTGTGTTAATGAGCTTCTCTGTACCCCAATTTCTCCTTTGGTAAACGGGAATGCTTTAGGACTTTCCTCCGCGGGATCGTTATGAACTTTTGAGTTAACGCACACAAAGACGACCAAGCGTTTAAGAAAAGCTGTCATGACTGACGTCATGACTTGAGCCTCATAGTGATCTCTGGAGCTACAGCTAGAAAAGTTCAAGGTCTGGCTCCTTGTTCAAAGCACAAGTTGGTATAACCAGGACTTGAGCCCTGGTCCCAGGCTCCAGCATCTCTTCTTTCAAGCCATGGATCCTTCCTCCTGGGGTGACCCTCCCTCCACTTCAGTTGCCAGGATGTCATGATCCAGTTGATTTCAAAGCCCAGTTTAAGTCAGCCCCAGATTCTCTTTGGCCCTCAGAGGCCATCCTTTCCCCAGAGGGTCACCGAGGTCTAGTAGGCACCCACCTTCCTCCTGCCAACGAGGCCTCTAGGCCAGGAAGGGTAAGTCACTGACCAATGGCCAAGCTGCTTCAAGATTTCAGCCAACAGCCAGACCATGGGTCACACAACCAGCAGCCAGAGGCCTTGTCCACCCAGGGGAGTCTTCACGCAGGCCCCTAAAACCAGAGATCCCCCAGGGTCCTGGGCAGAGGGTGGAAAGGAGGCTTTGGACCCAGGAAAGTGGCCAACAAAGCAGGATCTGGCCCTTGCACAACATTCCCCTTAGTGTGGGCCTCCTCTTCAGCTCCCTGGGCATGGTTCCTATCCTCCCCAGCTGGGGAGGAGCTCAGTCACAGGTCTCCTGCCAGCTCTGGGCCACACCTCCCTGGATTTAGGGCCTAGAGCACACGGCTGCTGTGGAGGGGAAATAATGGCCCTGAAAGGATTCTACTATTTCCTTTCCCTTTTAAGATCTAGATAGTAGGAATCAGGCTCTGGGCCTGGGTAGCCTGATTCCATCCTGTATGTTCTTCATGAAGACACTTAGGAAGGGTGAGGGTTAAGGCCTGCAGACAGCCAGCTTCCCCAGGGGATGGGGGAGCCTCCCCTTGCCTTTACAGCCAGCCTCACCCCTCCAGGGCCTTCGGAGTCAGTGCCTCAATCTTTGTTATCTAATTAACCGGCCTAGACATCCCCTAAAACCCAACCAGTGTCACAAGAGGGGGAATTAGAAAGATATCTGCCGCTCACTAACATGTGCCTGCAGGAAATGGGCGCAAGGTAAACTAAGAACTAAGATTAAATGTTTTTACTTTTAGTCAGAGACAGATCAACCCCGCCCCCCCCCCAAACACACACACACACACCCCTCATTCCCTCCTTAGGGTGCAACAGGCCTGGGTTCACTCTGGTCCCAGGAAGGGCTACTTGTCCTCTCCCTGCACCACCAGCCCCTATCCTGGAACAGGAAGTAGTTCCTAGTTCCTACCTCTCACTCCTGCTCCCCAGTAATACCTGCTGACCAAAGAGGTAAGAGTCCAGAGGATGCAGAGCTGCAGAATCTTGGGGACAGCTGGCCTGAACCATGTTGGCCACAGGCCTTTGAGAAAGGCCTAGTGGAATCAAGGGGGAAATTCGGCTTAGCCCTCCCAAACCTCCTGCGTGCAAGGAACCAAAGGCAACTCAAATCAGCAGTTTCTCTGTCTCCCCAAAAGAGAAGTCCAACTCCCCCTTACAGGTAAAACATCACTTTTTTGTGGTCATCCGGTCCTGGCTGGGGTGCTTCTAACCAAGGGAAACCCTTCACCACACCATGCTACCATGCTTTGTCTAGCATGGCAGGTGTAACTAGGGTTAAGGTGGTGGGAGCTATAGGCAACTTCCTATTGTTGGTCAATGCTAATAACTCTCTTCAATAGCCCTCCAAATCAGACACCAACCCAGGTATGTGACTGAGCCCCTCACCAGGCCTGCAATGCTTCCTCACACCCTCCCAGGGAGCTGTTGAGAGCTTAAGACTTGGTTAACTCCTGTGGGGAAAATGAGCCTGAAGCATCTAAACAGAATAACTTGCTCCAAGCCAGACTTGCTGGTGTGTCATGGACTCTTTCCAGCATTTTGGGTACCCAACCACTGCCCAAAGGAGTGAAGACCACAGGTTAACCAGAAACTGCTGTGGATGGCCCTGAGCTGTGGCAATATAGCAGGAAGTAGATTCCTTTGCAAAGAAAAAACCAACCAACCAACCAACCTCCACCCGCAGCCCCCTCCATCCCCACTAAAGCTCACCAAAGGGAGCTACAGGTTCAGCTGTCAAGTGCCAGAAGAGGCTAACCACTGCCCCTCCTACCAAGCAAAGTACAGCAGGCGAACCCTCTTGGCAAAGTCAAACCGCAAACCAAGGAAAGACCAGCCTCACGATCAATTTCTTGAAAAACGGGGTTTATTGATTTTAAACTGCAAATAGTCGTTACAAAAAGTTTTTTTTTCTTTTAAATAAATTCACACAAAGAAAGAGAAATAGAAAGCGACGGTAGTGACCAGCAAGAGGAATAATAATTACATTCATCTTAATGTGTGTGTGCGCCAGTTCTGTTTACACTAACATTGGAAAACTCCAAACCTGGAATCCAGAACCTCAAATCTGCGAGCGGAATGTCTTGAGATGGGCACGTGGAAGTCAAAGGGTTTCTCTCTTTTTTTTTTTTTCCCTTTTAGAAGCTATACATAAAGTCGTTTTCCTTCTATACTGTCACAGAACTTTTACATACATTCTCAGTCCTACCTGTGAAAGGCCTAAAGAGAAAGAAACTCAATTTGCAGTCCAACACAAAGGGGGGAATTTCTAAAATAAATAATCCAACAGTTTTTTGCATTTTTTTAAATTAATTTTTCATTTTTTTAAAATAAAATAACCAAAAAAAGTGTAAAGTTACAAAAAAATGTTGTTGAAGAATAATATATTAAAACTGTGGAAAAAAAGGAAAAAGACACGTCACAAAATTTTAAGATTAATATGAAGATCATAATTTAACATAAAAGAATATATTCTATGGATTTGTCATCCCGATAAATATGAACAAAATTAACAAAAAAAAAAGCATAGTTTGGCAATAAATACGTTTTGATAAGTTAAATAAGCTTTTTTATATTGATGTGCAGTGACAAGCAAAATTTTTGCTCTCCAATTTCTGAAAGTTATATGAAGTTTAAAACCCAGGGAAAAAAGCATGGCGTGAGTGCTCTAAGGGTCAACCTACGGTATTCTAGAGCAAAAACCATTAAAGCTACTTCTACAGGAAATCGTTTTACACAGATATTGTATGTGGAATGAATACCATTAACTGCTCACCCCTTACATGTTTTTTTTTAAGCTTTTCTCTCTTTTTTTTTTGTTGTCATTTTTTTTTTAAAGATGTCACATATGAACTGGGGAACTTTAGCACCAAAATCAAGTCTCTCATAGTCCATCTAGCTTCCCCTTCCTCCCCACTTTAAAAAAAAAAAAGAAAAAAAAAGATTAAAAAAGTCCCACTTATATCAAAATCTTCATCCGCTTTTTCAGCCCTTCCTTCCTGCAGACCTACACAAACCCAGGCAAGATTAGTCAACAGGGGTTCGGGTTGGGATGAAAAAAAAAAAAGATTTTCAATGTCGAGACAAGTTTCCCCAAAAACCCAAGTCCAGCAACAATTCTCCTAAGGGAGGGGGCAACTCTCTACCGGAAGAGGAGGAAGTGTGTGGGAGACTGAAGGAAGGGAAGGTGCAGTTGTGTCGCCAGTGGGGGGAGCTGCTGGTTCTGGGTCTCCCCCCTCCCCCTCCCATGGGCAGAGGCTCAGGGAGGCCCACGGGTGCCCCCTGGCGCTGAAGAGGTAATGTAGTCACAGTGACAAAGTTAGATAACAAGGCACTAAGTTGCTTCTGTAAACTGTTACTGCTTTTTCTTTTGTGATTTGGCACTTAAGGCTTAAGCCGGAGAGAAAAAAAAAAGGCATCTACTGACAAATATGGGACTTGTCTGTTATGCGTGGTGAGTGGGCGATAAAATTGAGGGAGGGGTTTCAAGCCAGAGGAAGCTACTGACAAATTGACTTGTCCTTATGTTAGGAGGGTAAAAAGAGGGAGGGGGGAGCATTCCAAGGTTCTGGGGGAAGGGGTTGAGCTTAACCTTGTTAATGTAGGGGTTGTGGGGAATGGGGTGGGTAGGGAGGTGAGGGTATTGGGGTGTGGGTGTGGGGAGAGGGGAGTGGAGGCAGAGGGGTCCCTCCCTACCCTGGTTTAGTCATCTGAGATGGAAAGTCTGCTGAAAATGGGCAGGCGTCTTGAGTTGTCCAAGGTGGGGGAGTCTGAGCCACTGTGGCTGCTGCTGGAGCTGCTCAGGTAGCCCTCCTGGTCCGAGAGAGAATCCTGAGGGCTGGGGGGAGAGTCAAACATGTGAGGGGACTCAGACATGGGCCGGAAGAGGAAGGTGGTGGGGGAGCCACCCCCAGGTAGCCCCATACTAGGGGCAAAGAGGCTGGCCAGCTCCTGGCTGGAAAAGGCAAAGGGGTTATTGGTGCCATCGGGCAAGGTAGGTGAGCCCAGGAGGTCATCGGCGCTCAGGATGGGGGGTGGGGTGATGGACGTGGGGCTGTCCAGCAGCCCCGTGGCAGCGGCGGTGGCAGCGGCACTGGGAAACCCAGCAAAGCTAAAGCTATGCTGGAGGCGGGGACGGTCAGCGGAGAGGTCTCGGGCCCCGGCCAGGGCGCGGCGCTCCTCAGCGTTGTGGATGAAGTGGCAGCGGGGCCCATAGGGGCAAAAGCCGATGGTATGGAAGGTGCGGCACAGCTCCGTCTTGTACTTGGGATGGCGGGTCAGGCTGCGGAGCTCGTGGATGCCGTGGGCGAACTGGCACTTGTCCCCGTACTTACAGGCACCGTTCTCCTCAAAGGGGCGGCACAGCTCCGTCTTGTAGCGGCTGGAGTTGACCTGGCCACTCCCGGGCTGCTTCTGGGTGGGCAGCAGCCGCTCACCCCCTTCGGAGAAAGAGCGATCTCGGAAGCGGCTGTCCCGAGAGCTCAGAGCCGGAGCTGGCTCACCCTTGAGGCTGCTGAGGAGCTGGTTCTGGTGGAACTTGGAGCTGGGCAGGGTGACAGAGTGCCTCCGAGGGAAGCCTCCACCAGCAGGGGTACCCACTGCCTTCCTGTCCAGCAGGCAGCCACCTGCACTGGGAGTACTGTAGTTGAGCATCTTGTTACCCTGGAGGGAAGAGAGAGAAGAGAAAAGATGGTTAGTGAGGGAGGACGTTCACAAGGCCAGAGAAGGGCACCCTTCTGAGGAGCTAAGAACTATCCCCTCCATGATCAGAAATGTCCAGTTGCTCTAAAGAACCACCCCCACCTTTGCTTCTGAACCCCCTTCCCTCCCTTTCTCCCACACACCAACCATCTAGGTTTATTCTGGCCCCATGCATAAGAAACCACAAAATCCTGGCCTGGGTGACAATTATTTTATGTGTGTACCTTCATATCCTGTATCACCAATGCTATCATTTTTATCTATGAAATCCAACTCTTTGCCTCCCAAATAGATTCCTCAACCCAGAATATCTCACAAGGCTAACTCTCTAGATCCCCCCCCACACACACACACACAAACACACACAACATAACAGGGCAAATCCCAGAGAGAAGAGTACACCTGAGCCAAGCCTCTCTTAATCAGCCCCTGCTCAATTGATAGTCCCGTCCTCCACAACCCAGCCCATTCTCAGCTTCCTTCTTCAGGAGTGTTCCCTTCCTCTGGCAACAGGTTTTTAGATTGCCTGTACTTTTTCTTGCTGGGGGGAGGGCCTGGTCTGAGGTTGTTAGAGAGAGATGTGATGCCTGAACTCTCAGCTCCTGGAAGGGGTACCCTGGACAGTCCTTATCTCCCACCATTCTGCACCCCCTTCACTGGGAAGATGCCTTTGCACTTGGTCTCCAGGCTGAAAAAAGAGAGTCTTGGGTAGGAGTGCCAGTGTTTAATCTAGAACTGCAAAGCTGCAGGTGGGAAGGAAAGGAAAGGGAAAGTTCCAAACCCACCCACCCACCCTGTGGTAGCTAGAAGACTGGGGGGCAGGGGGGAGTAGGGGGCACCACAGGCAGGGTTCTGTTCCAACTGGGCCTTGGTCACCTGCCCAAACTGTACCTAAGATTTGGAAAGGGTGCCAGTGGGGAACCTGAGGGATGGTTCCCCACCCATGTGGGTGTCATTGTGCAAATTCTAAAGTTGGTCCCTAAGGATCAGCAGCAGGGGATCGGGAATCTGTAACCACAACCACCCCACCGAGCGGATTACAGGAACCCAGTGGAGAGCTGGTTCTCAACAATGAGGTTCATTTAAAAAGTCCTGTGGGAGGAGGGGGTGAAAAAAGAGAAATAGATCAAAGAACTGGAGAGCAAGGAAAAGAAGAGCCCTGAGCTCAGGCAGCCGGCCTGGCTAGTGGTGTTTTGGAGAAGGCAGGGAAGTAAGGAAGCTGAAAATTCAAAGTTCTGATGTTGTTCTTCAGCTAAATCAGCGTCCCTGCACCCCAACCCTGCAGCCCTGGGGCCTTGGCAGCTGCGCCTACAGAAGCAGCAAGCTGGGAAAAGAGAGCAACATGACCCAACGTGTTTAAGAGAAGGCAAAACACTTCACCAATTAAAAGTAGCCTAACAGCTTCACCCTTTCAAATACGGGGTAGAGGGCTGGGAAAAAAATTTTAACAACATCCATAGGCTTTTGTTATGTACACTTCAGCCACACTCCTGGAGCATTCCAACTTTAAAACTTGTTTTCAGCTGACAAGCTACCAGGCTTAAAAAGCCCCCCCCCCCCGAAATCCTTATTGGAGGGGTATTCTTAGAGCTCAAGCAGCATTTTGTCACGCATCCCCCGGCCCACCAGGAGCGGTGCCTGGCAACACAGGTAAGCAGGTCAACCCACTTTCATTCCCAAAGTTTGCACAGTGATCTGTTATTGCGGGAGGAAGCTCAGCTGAGCTGAGGTAGTCACAAGTCCTACTGCAAACTTGCTTTGCTACATCTTTATGAATCAACTCTTGGCCTTTTTCTTCCTTGCAGATCTCCAGCTTCCCCAAAGCAGAGAGAAATCTCCCACATCATCTCGAGACTCACTTCCCCGAGGGACCCCACCCTCAAGGGCCGGCAATGGAGCTGAGCAGTATCGAACCCCTGCCGGCGGTACAGGGACCCAGAGCGCGCACAGAGGAACCAAGTAGTCCAGCAAACCTCAGCTCAAGCAGCACACTATGTCGCCCAAAACTTGTCCCAATCCCAACCAGTCCCCCCCGCTTCGCAAACTTCGCCTCCCAAAACTCCCCAGATTCACATGTAACCGCACCGGGAACTGTTGAAACTCAAAGAGTGAAGAGGACACGGTCAAATTCCTTCAAAGTGGGGAAATGCGGGCGGAGAGAAGAGCCATCTCCCTTCATTACCCTCTACCCCCTGCTTCCCAAGAACTGAACTTTCAGGAGTTCTTCTTTTAAGCAAAAGAAAAAGACTCAAAATCTCCGCTCCACTTTACCTTGCATAAAACTTCGCTCAAGTCGAAGATGGTGGCAGACACGAGGGTGGTGGTCATCGTGGGAGCTCGCACGGGGCAGGGGCGCGAGGATCTGGTGTGTCGTGAAGGTCCCGGTGCAGGGAAGGCGCAGCCTCCGGCTCTCCGGTCTGGAGTCCCACACGCCTGCTCCCGGCGCCCCTCGCCTTTCTGACTCTCCCGGGCTGCGGCGCGCAAAGCCCAATTTATAAAGTTTCAGATTTGGTGGGCTGGGGGGAGGAGGAGCTTTAAACTTATTTAAATGAGGAAGAGGAGGAAAAAAAGTTGATTGACACTGAGGTTGAATCAGCCATGCGGTCAAGCGGGGGGGGGGGGCGGGGGAGCTGGGAAGGGAAGAAACTTTCAAAAGGAAGAAGGGGGAGGGGAGACGAGGAAAGAAGGCGGAAAAAAAAAAAAACCCACTCCGAGCCGCGCACAACTTTTTTTTCTTAAAGAGGAAAAGTTTCGAGTCGGCGGGCTCAGCTCCCCGGCGCTTTGGGCGCCCCTCCCTGGGGCCGCGCGGCGCAGAGGGGGAGGGGCTCGCCCCCCCTTTGTCAGCCTCGGAGCGCGGCTCTGTGACATCACTCATTCCACCCCCTTCGGAGTTCTTGTTGTTGTGTTGTTGTTTTTTGTCGGGCAGGAAGGCGGGCTCGACTTTCTCTTTTTGTAAGCGGGAGCTGCAGCCTGTCCTGAGTGCCCGGGCTGCGGTTTCCATCTTGAGCTAGTCTCCACTCAACTTCTCCAAGGGCCGGCACCACTTACCTTTCCCTGACTTCTCGCTCCGCCGGGCCAGGGGATTGGAAATTGGGTGCCGCCAGAACGTTCAAGTCTAGGGTTTTATGGGATGTTTTTTTCCCTCCAGACCGAGGAGTGGGGGGGGAATAGAGAAACTTTTTTTTTTCCCTCCTGGGAGGATCTAGCTTGGCGGGGGCGAGCACGGCACGATTTAGCTCGCCGCACGCGTCTACACTCGCTCCCGCCAGGCAGCCGGGGGGGGTGCGTTGAGAAAAAGACCACCGCCCGGGAAGGTTGGTAATTTAAGCAGACCTAGGCGTGGCGTTGCTTACAGGGATCCAGTCTTTAAACTTTTTAAATACAGAAAACCCCGACTCTTTCGTGGGCACCTCTTCCTCCCCTCAAGAAAAAAAAAAAATCCACTGAGCAACGAACCACTTTCCTCCTCCCCACACAAAACCCCAGACGTTAGAACAGTGAAAAAAAAAAAAAGTTACTTCGGTAAAGAAGTGGGGGAGGCGACACTTTTTAACTTATTGTTACTTCTCTCCCGCCACCACGAGAACGGAACATATGGCTTGTCACCCTATGCTGTTGTTTTGGGGGGAGGGGACATAGCAGCTATGAAACCGAAGGGCCCGCAATGAATTATTACTTCTTTTAAAACGATATATATTTATTTCTTATTAAGTTCGAATGCCGCCCCCCTCGTTCTCCCAAATACAAAGTTGTTAACGTGTCCCCCACCCGCTCCCCGCGCCTTGGCCCTGGAGTGAAGACCTAAGCGGAAATCGCGGGTAGGGCCGCCTCCTCGGCCCTCGCACGTTTCTTCCCAGCACTGGAGGCCGCCGGGTCGGTTATGAAACCCCGCGAGCCGAGTGGCTGCGAGCGAAGTTCCATTGCAATGTAATTAGGTCACCCCATTATGGGCACGTTTCTTTGGAAAGGACGGGACGGGCGGTGCACAGCGCTCGAGTTGCACCCCCCAATACACACACACACACACACACGCACACACACATACACACACACACATGCACACACGCACACAACCACTACTGCATTTCTTATTTATTCGTCAACCACTGGGCAAACCCAGGGAAACCTTCCAAATCACAACTGTTTTAGGAACCAGTTGTTTTTCCAACTTTGCGAAACACACAACTTATGTTGCAGCCACGAACTTTCGTGATTCACAACGGGTCCTGCTTTTATTTATGCCTCCTCTGACTTGAATTGATGGCCCCCATTTTTAATCACGCTGCTGCCCCTTTTTCTGCCGTTGCTGTCCAGCCGCCTGTTGCTTCTCCACACTACCCCCCCCAGCTCCCATTTTTCATCTTTTCTTGAAATCTGGCAAGCGCCAGAAAGGGAAATAACTTCCATCCACCTTAATTTAAATCACTCGCGTGTATAGGTTTCTTTCTTAAGGGGATGTTTGCTCGTTCCTCTCCCGGCTCCAACAAGTGTGCGCGTGGCGGGGGGGGGACATTTAGTGCAGTTGCTTGGTGATGAGGTAATGAGTTCCAGATTTCAGGACAGAGCAGGGTGCGCGTTAAAACCACAAGGTTCGTCTGAGTCCTGATGTGAAGTTATTTCGTGTGTGTGTTCTTATCCCCCCACCCCCCAAAGGCCGGGATCTAACTCAGGAGTATTCGCGAAGCTCAGCTGGGGGGACCCGGAGGGGAGTGGAGAAGCGAGGGGGAAGGGGACCCGGGGCTGGCAGGGCCGCCTTCCCGGCCCAGGGCCGGTCCCCATGGGGCGCGGACTGTCCGCGTGCTCCGGGCGGCGCCGCTGTCCTCCCGCGGCCGTGGGTTGGGCGAGGAACACCATCGCGGGGCCCCGGGCTGGCTAAAAAGTCGTTTTTATCAAACAGAAAAACGATTCCTCGAATTTTCTCGGCTTGTCCAACTCGCGGCGGGCTCCCCTCCCCCGCTCCCGGGCGCGGGCTCCGCGGGCGGCGGCCGGCCGGTCCAGCTCGCTGCGAGTTGTTTACCGGCCCGGCCGACCGCCCGGGTTGGTTCCAGCTCCCAGAGCCCGTCTCTATAATTAAACTCTTCTTTTAATTGTCGGGTTGAAACGTCACTTGGGGGACTTTCCAAGGGTGAGGGAGCAGAGAGGAGGGAGCGAGCTCCTTAACCCTTCGCTGACCCGGCGTCCACGCCGCGGCCGCCCAGGTGGGACAGGGGTCTGCAGCCCGGGCCACGGCCCCTCCGGGACGTGCCGAAGGGCTGGCAGGAGCCGCAGCGAGTCGAGACCCGGCCGGGGAGGCCTTCACGCCGCGGCCCGCCCTCCAGCTCCTACCCGCGCGGTGCCCGGCGCGGCCGCGCCTTCGCCTGCACTGCCGCCGCGGACCGGGAGGCGGTGGGCCCGCTCCTCCGCGCGGCCGGCCTTCCCCGCGCGCCCCATTCGCTGGGAGCGAGCCCTCGAGGCTGCGGAGGGCGGGCCAGGTAGCTCGGCTTGGGTGGGGGTGGGGCCGTAAAGTTTTGTGAAAGGGGGAAAGTGAAAGTCCTCGAAAGGAAGGAGGCGCGGCTGCTGTATTCATCCGCAAATCCGAAGCCTGGGCTCACCACCTGGCAGGTGAGAGTGTGAGCGCCGGGACGCGGACCCCCAGACGGCCGCCGCGGGTCACCCGGGGCCTGCGGTGCACCGGCTCCCCAAGAGCCCAGCGGTGCTGCACCTCCTCCCGAGCTTTAGGTCATTTGCAAAATCTTCCAAATTCTTCGAATTAGGACCCGCCCGTCCTCCAACCTCTGCTACCTGGGGACGCCTCAAGGTCCCTGTCGGACCGAATCGAACCGAATCCGGCCCCTAGAGTCACCTATTAGGGTCATCTATTAAGTTCGAAGAATGCAGATTCTTCAGCTTGAATCTAGGTCCAAGGAGTCAGACACACTCTGGGGTGGGGCCAAGAATTTGCATTTTTTGGTAAATGTCCTGCATGTAACAAACATTAAGGTTTAGTAATCAATGGTCGGATACGGGACATTTTAGTCAGGGCGGGGGGGGGGGCGGGATCCAGGAACCAAATCTTGGCTTTGCCATTTTGGCTGTAGACTTTTTTTTTTTTTTTTAAATGAGGTCTCACTATGTTGCCCACGCTTTTCTTTCTTTCTTTTTTCTTTTTCTTTTTTTTTTTTTTTGTTGTTTTTTTCAGCGAACACAACATCTTTATTTTATTTTTATGTGGTACTGAGGATCCGTGCCAGGCGAGCTCGCTTCCCCAGCCCCTCAGACCCCATGCTTTTCTTCTAACTCCTGCACTCAAGTGAGTCTGGGGAAGAGCTGGAGGGGTTAAAGTGAAACCATGGGAATTTGCTGCCTAGCTAAAAAATACCTGATTATACTTACCAGTATTTCTGAAAACAACTAGATCCCTGGGGCAATGTGAATAGACAGCAGAAGCCAATCTCAAAGTCCTCAAGCCCTCCGAACACTTAGTGGGCATCACTCATCCTCCTGAATCAGGCAGAGGCCTAGGAGAGGGCAGTTTAGACTCTACTGTCTGCAGCACTGCGTGGTGTTGGAACCTAAGATTGCAGCTCAGAGAGCAGAAGAATCCAACCAACTCCAGACCTGGGAGGGTGTCAGCGCCTTGAAGTGGGACATTTAAACACTCATTCTTAGGTCAATTGCTTTAATACTTTCCCTGCAGAGATGTTCCAGAGAGTTAAGTCTCCAGGCTAGCCCACATCTTCACCTCCCACACCTGCTTGCCTGGGCCTATCGAGAACAAACCCTTAGTCTACCATAATCTGACTCGATTTTGGTGGGGTTTTTGTTCGTTGGTTTTGTAGGGGTTGAACCCAGAGGTGCATTACCACTGAGCTACACTCCAAGCCCTTTTCATTTTTTGAGACAGGGTCTTGCTGAATTACTGAGGTTGACCTTGAGTTTGAGATGTCTTGCCTTAGCTCCTGAGTCACTGGGATTACCCCCATAAACTATCTAGCCCAGCCATAATCTGATTCTTCCTACAGCCTTGACTTTCACTCTGTCATTATTTCTCCAACCCCCTTTCCCCTAGGGCACTACCTGTGCTTTAGTCAGTTTTAGAGGGAAATGAGCCATTTTCCTCCTGCCCCAGGGCTTTTGCACATGAAAATCCTGTTGGCCCAAAAAAATTCCAAATCATTCTTTAAAACTCAGCTCAAGCATCACTTCTTCTGTACACATTCTTGACCTCCACCTCCCCCATCAAGATAAGAAATCTATTCTCATGTTCTCATGGAATGTTCACTGAGTAGTCAGTTCAGTGTTTTAGGGCACATTCATTCCTATAATTTTATTTTTAAACACCTATTAAAATGGTGTACAGATTTTATCTTTTTGTACTAGGGATTAAACCCAGGAGCGCTTTGTTTTTATTTTTAAAGACAGGATTTGGGGCTGGGGTTGTGGCTCAGTGGTAAAGTGCTCGCCTAGCATGCACGAGGCACTGGATTTGAGCCTCAGCACCACATAAATGTAAAATAAGAATACTGTGTCCATCTAGAATAAATATTTTTTTAAAAAAAGGAGGATCTTGCTAAATTGCTGGGACTGGCCTTCAAACTTGCCATACTCCTGCCTCAGCCTCCCAAATAGCTCAGATTATAGTGTGTAATACCAAACCTGACTAGTGTAGTACATCTATGAATGTTAACATACAAATAGATTCGTGTAACTACCACCACCATCAGGGGATAGAACACTTCCATCATCCCCAAAAAACTCCCTCCTACCATCCCTTTGTAGTCATGCCCTCCCCCCCCCCAACTCTCTGGCAGCTACTGATCTGTTCTCTGTCACTGTAA